CCCTGGCCAGGTTCAAACCCACCAGCCCCAGTGCATGTGGTTGGGGCCCTAACCACTGAGCTAGAGGCGCTGAGCCAAAAGTAAAAATTTTAATAATGACTCTAAAACTTGAGACTAACACTTGTAGGGCTGATAATAGATATCTCTGACCACTTATGGTTAACCTTCCTATATATGCTAGGTGGTTGGAAAGGTATGAGAGGCTCTGCTTATGAGTAAATTACTAGTATTTTTCTTAAAAGTTTACACTGTGAAGGATCCATGCCAAAATATTGGCATGGCATGGGATGGTTTGAATTTTTTCACATTCTCTCGCTGAAAATATGCTTAGTTCATGGGCAGCGCCTGTGGCTCAGTGAGTAGGGTGCTGGTCCCGTATACCAAGGGTGGTGGGTTCAAACCCGGCCCCTACCAAACTGCAACCAAAAAATAGCTGGGTGTTGTGGCCGGCACCTGTAGTCCCAGTTACTCGGGAGGCTGAGGCAAGAGAACGGCCTAAGCCTAAGAGCTGGAGGTTGCTGTTTGCTGTGATGCCATGGCACTCTACCGAGGATAACAAAGTGAGACTATATCTCTAAAAAAGAAAAAAGAAAATATGCTTAGTTCTGACTTTTTTAGGGCATCTAATATAAATCCATTATTAATGCCTTGATAATTCAGATGTACTGCTGGTTCCCACCAGTAGGCTACAGGCCTATACCAATCTGGATAGTCCTCCTAGGTCCAGAGTGGGGGGAGGAAGGGGAGGAGGAGTTGGTTCCTTATAATGCTAAATTTATTCAATTTAAAGAAGGTCAGTTCTGAGATTACATCCTTCCTACTCTTTGGGCTTTGAAATTTTTTTAAGCTCAATAAGGTACCTTTAAAAAATTTCTTTTTTTTTTTATTGTAGTGATAAATGAAATACAAAGTCTGGGTGCCCTTTCTTTTCTTTGTAGTTGTCATTATTGTTTAGCAGGCCCTGACTGGGTTCAACCCCCCTAGCCGCCCCGTGTATGTGGCCGGCACCCTAACCACTGTGCTACAGGTGCCAAGCCAAGGGCACTCTTGAAATATGCTATTTTCTTCCTTTATTTCTGAATATATGGATTTAAGTGTCTTTTAGGGTGAAGGGGAGAGACAGAATCTCACTTTATCACCCAGGGTAGAGTGCCGTGGCGTCACACGGCTCACAGCAACCTCCAACTCCTGGGCTTAGGTGATTCTCTTGCCTCAGCCTCCCGAGTAGCTGGGACTACAGGTGCCTACCACAATGCCCAGCTATTTTTTTGTTGCAGTTCGGCCAGGGCCAGCCCCCTACTCACTGAGCCATAGGCGCCACCCTTTTAAGTATCTTTAATAGGAAATAGAGGGGTGG